GTTAGAGCTTCGTGCTGCCGGGTTGTTGGCAGGTGACAGTCGGAGTCGGCGGCGGGTAGCGAAGAAGTTGGATTCTTTTCTATCGAAGGCGCGAGACACCATGTCCACCCTTGAGACGGAGGTTTCCGCGGTGCTGCAGCGTTTGGGACTGCGCAGTCGAGCTGAAGACTGGCAGGGTAGGGAGTTAGTGCGCGGCAGTCCGTCGCGCAGGAGGCGAAGCACAGGTTCCGCGGAGTGTAGTGTAGCGTGGTTCCGTGCCGGCGTGTAGCGTAGTGCAGTGTAGTGCTAGTTGGGACTTAGAAGGTATAAAGTAGTTCAATGCGTCTTGCCTTGGGATTTTTCCAGTTTCGGAAGTGCAAATCAGGAACTCATTTTCTCAGCATGTTCATGTCCTTAATTCTGTCACCACGCAGAGGAGCTACACCTTAGCGTTCCACATTGTGCAGCTGAAGGCCTTCGGCCGAATGTTCAGAGCTAATACATTGGTTAGAGACTTGAGTAGTTCGAATCTACACCCGCGGGTGATGTCCGATGCTCAGAGCCAGTGACGAGTTGGATACTTGAATAGTTTCGCCCCTACACCTTCGAGTGTTTGTTCCTGATTGTACTCCTTCGGGATTTTTCCCCTTAATGTCAAAGTGAAGTTTTGCTACTTCGTGTAAGCCTTGGTTGTAAATTCAGGTTACGCTGTAGCAGGTGCCTTCAGGGTAACCCCTGTGGTATTTCTGGGAATGACAAGTGCCTGAGAATTCAAACTCTTCAATAGACTGTTGTGGTGTGTTATTGGAATGTTTCTCAGTGAGTCCTTCTGTGCGGACCTGTGTTCTCTGCGCGTTTTGTGAGTTGAGAGTGTTGTTCACCGCGTATGAGTGACTTCCATCCGTAGTAGGCAGTCCAAACCGGGTTCTCTACGCTAGCAGAAAGCTAGTGGAAGGGTTGTAAAAGCCGGAGTTGGGAGTCACTACCCGCAGCTTCGCTGAGTGTACTCTTGAGAGACCTCCCCCCTGAAATCTTGAGTAGAGGTCCTAACGGATCTCTGGGTTGTGTTTCCGTAGTTTCATCTGTGTGTGTGTGTTACGCTGCACTGTGCGACCTCCGAGTGCGCTCCGAGTGGACACTTGCAGTATTTCTGGGAGTGACAGTCGCCTGAGAATTCAAACTCCTCAATAGTCTGTTAAACGTGACACTTTGTACCCTGTGTGTTCCTCTGTCCCTGTGGGTTCGACCTTTCTACCACTATATTGCAGTTTTAGCCTTTATTGGGTTATTACATGTATACACTTGGAGTCTGGACGGACGAGTTGTGGTAACCCACTTTTTGTTTTTCGCCGGAACTAAAACATTTTTGATTAATAAGTACCGTGGTAGCAGTCGGTACGCAAAGCCAGAGTAAAAAGAGGATCGAGGACAGTCAAGGGGTTTTGGGCTTAGGCCACAGTGGAACGCTTGGAATGGAACGGGCGGTTCACGCTGCAGGACTCGCTTCGAGCACCTTCGGCGGTAGATCACTCATAACTTCCTCAATTCTTAACGCCTTGAGTTATTTAGGGTCTCGTTGGAAAGAACTCGACGTTCTGGTTCTAACGAGCCCAAGAACGCCTGGAACGGATGAGGACTCAGGGAGTTGTGACTGTCGGAAGATGCGAAGGAGAACGCCTACGGATAGGCGAAAGGAGTTCGTCGTCGGCAGAATATCCGCCTTCGGCCTTAGATGTTCGCCTTCGGCGACGGACGTCTTCGGGTCAACTTCAAGTCGGCAAACTCGGGGTCGGCGAACTCGAGGGCGGAGAACTTCAAGTCGGCAAACTCGGGGTCGGCGAACTCGAGGGCGGAGAACTTCAAGTCGGCAAACTCGGAGTCGGCGAACTTGAGGTCGGCGAATTCGGGGTCGGAGAACTTCAAGTCGGCAAACTCGGAGTCGGCGAACTTGAGGTCGGCGAACTCGGGGTCGGAGAACTTCAAGTCGGCAAACTCGGAGTCGGCGAACTCGAGGTCGGAGAACTCGGAGTCGGCGAAACACTGTGCAGGCGCCTTCGGCGATAACAGATAACAAACCTTCAACGGTGTGCCTTTGGCGAAGGATAAAACTGGCATAACTCTTTCAAATCGTAACGGTTTGACTCAGTTAGGATCTCGTTAGAAAGAGCTCAACGCGCTCGTTCCAACGAGCCCAAGAACTCTTGAAACGAATCAAGAATCTGTGAGTTATGGGTGTCGGGAGTGACTGTTACAAATAGGCAAAGGTGCGGAAGTGCGTCTTCGGCGGTCAACGCCTTCGGCGAACTTGAGGTCGGCGAACTCGAGGTCGGCGAACTTCAAGTCGGCAAACTCGGAGTCGGCGAACTCGGGGTCGGCGAACCGGATGCGGTTAAGAGATCTTGCGGAGTCCATATCTTTGCGATGGACGGTCGGATGGATCTGAAATTTGGTGGGGCCGTTGATCTCAGTTGGCCACGCATGCCTGCAAATATTCAGCCTCAAATCTTGGATGTAAAGACGCTGGCGGCTCTGTACAGTAGGCTTAGGATTCAGATTTAGGGTTAGGGTTAGATTTAGGTTGTAAGTTAGAGGGGAAGGCAACCGCCGACTCCTTAGGTGTAGGATCTGTTGCGGCTCGCACCCTAGCGGGTAGCGTAGTGTTAGTTAGGATCTTAGAGGGTATAAAGTAGTTCAAGGCGTTTTGCCTTGGGACTCTTCCAGTTTCGGAAGTGCAGATCAGGAACTCACTTTCTTGGCGTGTTTGTGCATTTGGTCCTGGCACCACGTAGAGAAGCTGCAGCATAGCGAAGTTACCGTATGTTGTAGTTGAAGGCCTTCGGCTGAATGTTCAGAGCTAGTACCCGGTTAGAGACTTGAGTAGTGCGGATCTGCACCTGCGGGTGATTTCTAATGCTTAGAGCCGGTTGCGAGTTAGAGACTTGAACAGTTCCCCCTTACTCCTTCGAGTGACATATCCTGATTGTACTCTTACGGAAAGTTTCCCCTGAATGCCAAAGTGAAGTTTTATTACTTCGTGTAAGCCTTGGTTTGCAATTCAGGTTGTGTGTGTGTGTTACTAGATTGTGTCTCAGTTAAGTTCTCAGCCGGGCCTGTACTCTCTGCGTTTGATGTGAGTCGAGGGTGACGTCCACGGCGTATGAGGGACTTCGTTCCGAAGTGGGAAGTCCAGTCCGGGTTCCCTACGCTAGTTCCTGGCGGAAGGGCAGTAAAAGCCGGAGTGGGAGTCACTACCTGCAGAGCCTCTGAGTGAACTTTTGAGACACTTTCCCCCTGAAATCCGAAGCGGAGGTCCTGACTGACCTCCGAGTTGTGCTTTTGCCAGTTTCAGGTGTGTGTGTGTGTGTGTGTTGAGTGACCTACGCTGCACTGTGCATCCTCCGAGCATCCTCCGAGTCGAGCATCCTCCGAGTGACCTCCGAGTTGAGCATCCTCCGAGTGACCTCCGAGTCGAGCACTGCAGTATTTCTGGGAGTGACAGTCGCCTGAGAATTCAAACTCTACAAAAGTCTGTTAAATGTGACACTTTTTACTCTGTGTGTTGCCTCTGTCCCTGTGGGTTCGATCTTTTTACCACCATACTGCAGTTTTAGCCTTTGGTGGGTTATTACATGAGTGAAAGGGTTGTTTTGTGTCAGGAGAGGTTGGAAAGGAAAGTCATGCGAAGGCCTCGGAGGGGACTCCAGATCTACTCCTATCATTCGTCAAACTCCAGCGGCGCCAAGGCCTCCATTCAAAGGAGAAGATGAGAGAATCAACTAGTCCCCTTTGCTCACTAGGTTCTGCTCGTCTTGTTGTAGCGAATCCTTCCTCACCCGAAAAATTCATGCACGAATCATACAACATGCAACAAAGAGATGAACCCGAGAAGAAAATGTTCAAATACGGGTAAAGCAAGTAGACGTAAAAACCATACATTTCGGTCTCAAGACCGGGTAGATGCGAGATTCATAAGCTTGCTACTCCCGCTTCTAAATTATATATTTCTCGGCCTTTTGGCTAAGATCAAGTGTAGTATCTGTTCTTATCAGTGTAATATCTGATACGAGGGTCATCGACCCTCACGATATTAATCTAATTTCTCTCTGGGTGGTGGTCCGGATCGGCGGCTTGCTGTCGTAGGCCTGCCCGTGTCGCCTTGGTATTGCACTGTCTCCAAGGAAGGCGCAACCCTCTCTTTCCCTCGCGGGAGAACCAACTAAAACAAACAGCAAGTCCAAACCTTTTCACATATGACACTAGCCAAATGTACCTGGCAAGGGTGTCGTGGTGACATCTGCAAGGCGTAGTGCACTCCAGGAAGGTACATAAACTGCAGTCGACTTGTAAGCGTTCGTAAGTGCGTCTCCAACAAGCTCATGTGGTTTGCAACAGCTTTTGGGCTCTGAAAATAAGCTTTGCATGCCTATTTCTCTGTGGAGAAAGGGATTAGCAGTTTGGGTGAGTCACTTTGAGAATCTGGATGCACTCCATTCGAGCGTAGTCAATCCCGCAGCAGAGTTGATACCAAATTTTCCATGCAGTCTCGACAGGTCACTTCAGTCGCTAGTATAGCAAGACATCTTGCTGAATGACTCCTTTCGGGACAGGTCACTCCAGCTATAAGCTTTTCTTCAACTTGAGCTATTAAGTTATGTCAAGTACGAAGACGGCCGACGACGGATCCTATTGCATGCTCTAAATTTCAATGTAATCATCCATCAGCAGCCGAGTGTACGCAGGGATTTTATGCACGTCTTGACCTGTTCCCTCAAGTCCGATTCTGATCATCAAACCTGTGCTAGAGCACAGGGTTAAGTTGGACTCCATGTGCATTCAGAGGCTGCCGTATGTGAAACGGTTTGGACTTGCTGTTTGTGTTAGTTTGTTCTCCCGCGAGGAAAGAGGGTTGCGCCTTCCTTGGAGACAGTGCGATACCGAGGCGACACGGGCAGACCTACGACAGCAAGCTGCCGATCCGGACCACCACACAAAGAGAAATTAGATTAATATCGTGAGGGTCGATGACCCTCGTATCAGATATTAAACTGATAAGAACAGATACTACACTTGATCTTAGCCAAAAGGCCGAGAAAGGTATACTTTAGAAGCGGGAGTAGCAAGCTTATGAATCTCGCATCTCCCCGGTCTTGAGACCGAAATGTATGGTTTTTACGTCTACTTGCTTCCCCGTATTTGAAGTTTTATTCTCTAATCTGCTATTTGTTACATGTATGATTCGTGCATGAATTCATCGGGTGAGGAAGGATTCGCTACAACAAGACGAGCTGCATAACCGCGTGAGTACAGCGGACTAGTCGACTTTCTCATCTTCTCCTTTGCGTGCAGGGCTTGGGGCTTGGGGCCGCTGGAGCTTGACGAGTGAAAGGAGGAGATCTGGAGTCTCAACCTGGGCCTTTGCAGGACTAATTATTTTCCCACCTCTCCTGACAAAATACAACCCGTTCACTCGTGCGTCCAGACTCCAAGTGTATAGGCCAGAAATAAAACTTGACTGGCTCATGACTCGTGACTCTCTTCATCCTCCAACTTGAGACGGGAAGCAGTACACCAAGTAATATAGGAACATTGATGAGAAGACCCCTTGCGGTTCGGCAGAAGTAAATCCAAACGGGGTAATATGCGTTAACCCCACAAGCATCACAATGCGCAAGTATGCAATCACCATTTTAATCATTCGCAAAGCGGAGTTGAATGAAGCCAGCTCTTTTACCGTCCTTACCCAACTGTAGTTCAATACACGTCATCCAGAGGAAGAGATTTTAGACAGGAAATCGCCAATTGCAACCATACTTTGTCAGAGAACATCGACAGTATGCTTTAAGAACACACCGAAGAGAATCGCTATTTTCCAAGCCACTAATGCACCTGGACTCGTACATCCTTTTTCAAGTCAAGCATCAATTTCTGTTCCTATTTATTTAAATATCTGAATATATTAAAGCAGATTGTAGACCTTAATATCAATTGAAAAAAATCAATGGCTTTCAGTTTTGAAAGCTATTTGAAGTTAAAGTATCCTTCAAGTCCATAGATTAAATTATATGGACTTTCCATTCTCCGATCAATCAACCTACTTTCTTCTATTTATAGATTTATTCTATAAATAGAACCTAAGTATTAATGTATACCGGTTCTCATCCTTTGTAGTAAGAAGAAACATACTTTTACATTTGAAATTTAGATATTATATAATGTAATAATAAAAAATTATTATTATAACAATTTTCTCCGTTTAAAGAATTTTTTAGTGCAATTGCATTGAATTTGAACCTTGAGTCAATTGATAACAAAGCACATGTACCAGATAAGTAATAAGTGCTAATAATTATGAGTTGTCTCGATAGAGAAATCACAAGATGCTGCAAATAGGGAGACTTTCCTGTACTTTTAGTATAAAAACGCTTCTTTCATTAAGTTTCTAGATTGTATGTGATGTTTTTCGTTTTTCGTTTTCCGTCAATAGAAGTCATAACCTACTATACAATACCAATAATTCATCGTGACTTGAGTTTTCGGCCAAAAAACATAAGTCATGTGTTTGTGAATCACGTGAAAAATTAATATGTGAGAAATCAATTTAGAAATATATTTTTGTTTTCAATTGCTAATTTGAAACTATTAATATCTATTTATTTAGAAGATGCCCTTATACAATTGGTTTATTGATTCTAGTATCCACTACATATCAATACACACATATTATTACCAAAATGAGCTAAATCTAGTGAAACTAGTAAGGCATTGATTGTCGATAGGTTGCTATATACTGAAAAATATGTGGATGTTCTTTATGAAAATGATTTTTGTGTGAGCGATGGATTTTCGAGATACTATTTCATAACAGAAGTTCCATTTCTTTGTATAGGGATGAGCAAGGTTGGAGTGGAAATATTGGTGCTGATCTACGGAAAGCAAAGTCCAGTCATGACCCAAACCCTCGCTGGACAAAGAGATCTTCACACCTCACCACTCACAATCTGCCCCGTTGCTGCCCGACGAGGCCAGGAAAGGCTGACGTGACAAAGGCAAAATGGATAAGGCTCGCTTGTCATTGCGTGGAAGACTCAGCAAGTCAAGGCTGACGTGTAAATCTATACAAGAACGCAGGAAGTAGTAACAATAGAGAACTACGAGATCCTCCACCAGGACTCGCCTCTTATAAAAGCAAAGTTCTTGTAGCATTCTTGTCCTGCTCCCCGTCAGACGGTGGCTCTGCTGCTGTGCTCGAATCAGGCTCGAGAAGGGAAGGCGAGGCGAGGCGTCCCTGCCCCCGTTCCATCGACCAAATATGCTAACCGGACGAGGAACCATGCCCCCGTCATGACGGTGCAATGATTTCTTGAAAGCGCTAGAGTAGGACCTTCCATTACCTGAAGGCCGAATCGAGGAGTCGAAGACAGAGAGAGGAAGCGGCGAGAGAGAGTCAGAGAGGAGAAGCGAACAGAGTTGGTGTACCACTTTCAGAGTTTTTGATTAGGGACTACGTGAGAGGATTGAGTTTCTCAAGGTGAGCGGGGGAATTGCGTTTTGCGAGCAACGAGAAGGGTAAATTGAAGATACTTTGAAGAATTCGGGGATTCGAGAGGACTTGGTTGTGGTGGTGGTGGGTGGTGGCAGCAGGATTTTGAGGTTTAGGACGGGAGAATGATGTGTAGTATGGCGTTGTCGAGTCCGGTGCAAGTGTCATTAGCTCAGGTGCAGGTATGTCGGACTCGAACCACGGCGAGGGTGGTGCACTCTGGTGCGAAATTGCGTGTGCGTGCGCCGATGTTAGTGATGGCCTCGTCGCTATCACAATCGTCTGCCGAGGAGGAAGGACCCGGTGCGCAAACGGAGCCTCCGCGCTTGGACGATTTCAGCCAGAGCCGTCTCAGTCGCTCGATGCGCGACCGGACTATTCTGCAGAAGGCCGAGAGTGCCCTCTATGGTAATTGAAATGCGGAGATTCATCTCTCGTCTTTCTTGGGTGGATATCTGATCCCTTCATAGAGTTGTTATACATTATACTCATTTCTAACCGTTTCCCGCCCTCGATGACGCGTGGCTCCAAGGCAGTACGATTGTATAGGTCACTGTTTTGCCGAAGGTTGTCACGATATCGTGTTATATCAGTTACAGATCAATAAAAGTGGATTTCCTCGGAATTGTTGCAGATAAATGTATGGCCCTGGAAGGAGAGAAAGCATACGAATGTTGGGAGGCCTTGTTTGACTACGAGCACATCAAGGTAAGCAGCTATGGAGTGAAAAATGTTTTCGTAACTCTGTTGGATATTTGAAACGAAATCGACGGCCTGAAAAAGGCCGTCAACCATAGGTTGATGTTTCCTGAACATGTGTGATTTGTTCTATGTTGGAGGAATGCCTGTCAAGATGCTCTTTGGCTGTAGAATTTCGAGTGAATTTTGTTAACAGGTAATGGATGTCTTGGACTTCTTCAGTTGCATTTGTTGTAGGTGATGAAGTTGGAGTCACTGAGATATGTGAATGTTTTTCAGGAAGAGTATGAAACAGAGTGTGACGTAGCCCCATCTGAGAACAGAGCTGAAGCATGTCGGCCTCTAGAGAGGTTTGAGAATATGGTGCGACAATCAGGTGGAGCAAACTCTCTGATCGATAATGTGAGAATGTCTGCCAAAGTGGCCAAGAGGAACGCAGCTGCTGCAGAAAAAGCGAAGAGCGATGCACCAAATGAAACAAGCACACACCATCATCACCATGATACCCGAACACCGGAGCAGATCAATGCCGAGGAACACGAACGCCATGAGGATGGAGGCATCCCAAAGACCTTAGAGGAGATGGACCACGAAAAGGACGGTTTGATGCCCGAATCAGATTATACTCGCATTCTAAGAAGAAGGGGCAAAAAGTCTACTGCATGGTTTACTCAACCGCCTGAGCATGAAACAGATTGATCTGTAACTGTGACTTCTTAGTTTTGTTGTACATTAACCAAATCAGCTAAATTTGTACACATTTCTGTAGTAATAGTCAACTGTGAAGGTTATTGTAGGAAAGGTCATGGGACTGTCGTCTGACTTTGAGACGGTTAGTATTGTATCATATGTGAATCAGTTGCGAAAAAATGGAATAACACAAAATTTATGCAGTGGAGTATGCATTTTAAGGTGTTACAAACCTTGAATACTTCACCTTATGTTGCTTCTATTCCAGTCGTTAGTGCTTCTATTCATCTTTAAAAACCTCATTCTCCTTCGTTGTTTCTGCGAATTATTTTCGTGAGCTCTAGTTGACTGTACCTACTCTGCACTTTTGTGATGTATGAGGAAGTGTGATTTGTGAAGTCGAAGTTGGTCTGGACAATAAGATACAAGATACGGAATCACATGAAAGGTCCATTGCGTTAGCCCTCTCGGTAGAGGAAATGGAGTAATCCATCCTCGGAGGATTGCGTAGTGGACGATGATTCACGCCCGATGTCTAGAGGCTTGACTCTGAATTGTTAAGAACCTTTGTATCCCGCGTTTGTCGAAGGTATTCGTTGCGGCTGCGCATTATTTATGTACTGGATGAAAGTCATAAACAGTTATCGGAAGTTGAAGAAGCATTAAATTTCAATTTTTCAAGTGCCAGTATTGTGCAGTGATGCTATTGGCGAAAGTGTTATGTTATTATATACTATATAGTTTATGTGGGTTTTCAGTAATTACTTATTTAGGTGCATCTGATCGTGGCATTGTAAACTGTTTAGATTCTGCATCTCGGGACCTCAATCCCTGTTTCTAATCATCATCTGTTAATAATGTTTCTAATAATCCCTGTTTGGTATCATCATCATACATCACCACATTACAACACGTAAACATACCGCGCTTTGTCGATCAAAAGTGCTGGGTAATTGGTTAGATAAGTTCAAATCCGGGAGTTGAGGGAGTCCCATAAAAGTCTTGTTGTTACTAGCAGTTATTTACGTAATTTCCTCAATCTTACCTTTGTTTATAGCAGTAGGTAGTGAGTGGAGATCGTTTGCCTCTTATGCAGCGAGTCAACTGACACTGTTGAGTTGCAGTGGCTTTTCACTCTTCGGCGAGGTCAGACTGCACCCACTGAGTTCGAAGAACGCACATCGTGGCTTCACAACCCAGAGTTATCTCGCCATCTGGACTCTCATACTGGCATTGTGGTACATCAGTTTTTAAATTATTTTCTTAAACTATGAAGTTTGAGTAGTAGATGAAGGAAAATTTACATTTTTACGGTGAGAATAATTAGAAGTAGACTAAATAAAGGATTCTGTAGCAGATAACTAGTTAGGATTTGTTGGAATCTATGTTAGATATCCCTTTGGCGAGAATTAGTGTTTTTACTCGTAGACAAGGAAGTTAAATTAAGAAGGTCAAGATGTGTTAAAGTAGATACTTTTTAACTTTGTCAATTAGTGACGAATTAATTTAAAAAGAATCTTGATAGATGAATCTTTGCACGATCGTTCTAACCAGCCTAAGAACTCTTGAAACGGATCAGTGTTCATTGTGGATGTCGGAAGTGGTTGGTAGGAACATGACGTAGGAGAGACAAGTACCTTCGGCTTGAGGCCCAAGGATGACACCTTGGGCTTTTAAGGGCCAAGGAACTTCGGCTTAGTAAAAGGCGACTCCGACGGAAAAGACTTCAGCTGTCGCGCAGAGGGTTCGCGCGTGTTTAACAAGACAGTTAGTGCGTAGCAAGCCAAAGGCAGAAATGGTAGTTCTGCGCGGACATTTTGGGAGAGTTCACTTTTGAATTGATAGTTTTGTTAGGATCGTGAGTGAGAAATTGAGAACGCAACGACGGTGCAAGCTTCGGAGTTTCGATTGAAAGCATTGAGTTTGTCGGAATTTGGATTAAGGACATTCCGAGAGGAGCTGACAGCCGCCATGTTCAATTTTTTACTCTGGTTGAAATTGGATCTGCACATCGATCATGTTAGAGTGGTATGAGACACCAGAGACAGAAGTCACAAGAATTCGGAGTCGTCCTGAGAGTTGGTAAGTGGAGTAGCAAGTCTTGAAGCCTTGTGAAGATCGAGAAGGTGATTTGATGTACGACCGGCACAGTGTGAATGTGACTGCGCGAGAAGAGATGACATTTGTAGCATTGTTTTTGTCGCCTCAATTGACCAAGAATGGGTGGCAGACGTCGGATTACATCAACCCGTTGAGACACAATGTGGCAGTGGCGCTAATGCAAATTCATTGGCCTTCGCGGATGACGTACATGACATCGTGGCAGGTAGGATTTGTGGAGTAAGTAGTGATGGTGAAACAAATTCACTGGGCTCGGATCTTGTGGAGCTCCAACGAAAAGAATGTGAATGACAGGTTTGAGGGACATCATATTTATATGTCCATGTTCTTTATTAATTTTTATCGAGGTATGGGGTTGCTAAAAGAGGAGGAGAACATGGAATTCTCGCTCGAGAGTGAAATTGTCGCTTCAAAGGACGAAGTCGCTCTAGGAGTGAACGAAATTGTCGCATCAAAAGACGAAGTCGCTCTAGGAGTGAACGAAATTGTCAGTGAAGATGACGACGTCGAACTTGCGCAACTTTCTGCCAAAGTCGACATCCTGGATGATGACGATGTTGAGGAACCGCCTGCGAAGAGACCAAGGAGAGTGGTGACGCCTTCGGCTTCGAAAGATGTTGTTCCAGGTAGTAGATTAAGCACTATAAGACTTGCACCTGCACGGTTTAGGTTGGCAGAGACTTATGTTCACAGGAAGGTGAAGTCACGACACAGAATGCAAGAAGTGCCAGACAATGCAGAGTGCAGTGAGGTCACGTCGCAGCCTCAACTAACTTCGGATCAATGAATTGCAGTGGAAGTAGAGGTTGCAGGAACTGAGGAAGCACGGACTTGGGAGTGGCTACCTTTGGATGTAACTAAGGAGAGGCATATGGAAGAAGGTTAAGAGGGAGAAGACGGGACTGAGACTGAAACTTCAGGGCAACCGGAACCGACCGTCGGGAAAAGATCTTCAAGCTTCGGGCAGAAGATCTTCAAATGTGCGAGAGATTATGGAAAGGTTTTTGGAGGTTACTCCTTTGGACGAAGGACCTTTGGAGCAGTTAGTAGCAGCAGTTTAGAAAACCTTTATAGAAGAACCGTTACTGCCTTTGTGTCAAATGTCTTCGGGGATAGTGGAGTTTGACAGGGGCGAAGAAACTTCGGCATGTGAGCCGAAGCCGGGAGAGATGAGCATGTCAGATCTCTTGAGTGAGCAGATTGTTCCGTTGATGAAGTACTTGAACATGAAAATGGTAAAGTACTCGGTGCCAGCTTCTTTGCGGGTTCTTATGTAGAGTTGGTGCGCAGAAGAACAAAGACAAAGGAGGGAACAACCGTTGGGCTGATAGAACGGATTGTATTCTTGACTTCCGAATGTGCGGCCGTGACAGTTATCTTGCAGGAGCGAGAAAAGCGAATTCAGGCGAAGGAGTTGAAGTGTGAAGATCTTCGGCGAGAGTTAATGGCCGAAAGTAAACTTCGTACATAGATAGAACAAGAGTGCGAAGATCTTCGATGTGAAGTCTGCGCAGTTCACAAGGTGAAGGAGGAACTTTGGGATGGATTAGAGTAGTCTTGGGGTAAGTTTGAGCGAGAATTCCAACGCGCAGATGGGTTGACTTAGCGTTTGGCGACATAGGAGCAGTTGGCGACTGGAGAATTAGCTCTTTGGGAGGAACGATTGGCTTCCGGCGATGTTGCTAGATCCTCGGAGTTGGAGTGCAGTAGAAAGTTGGATGCAGAAGTTTGCAATCTCAACTGTCGGGAGTTGAGAGTCAGTTGGCTGCTATTCAGGCGAGATTGGTGGAGACGGAGGCGATCATTGGACGTCTGGATCAGGAGATAGATGCAGGCTTAAGAGCCAGAGTAGAACCTTGTCTTCGCGGTTATGTGGATTACGAGATCCAGATCACGAAGTGATTGAAGTTAGAGTCGTTGGAGCGTAGGTTGAGAGCGCTGGAGGCTAGCGAGATAGTAGAAGACATACATTTAGGTAGTATAGTTAATTCTTTCATGTCTGACTTGGAAGAGACGAGAGAGAACTTAGAGTTAGAGCTCACTGCAGTTCGGAGTAAGATAGGAGTAGTTAGGTGCTCTGCATTAGGTCGTCGCACCTATTGGAGTCTTGAAGCCAGTGGGTTGTGACTCCGGGTGTTCGTTGTGAATAAATTAATCCAAGGCTCTGCCTTGGGAGTCTTTTGCACGAAATAGTTTTCTGCCGTTAGATTGCATTACTCTGCACGGTTGTGAGTTTTGTCACAGTATAGAGTTGCTTCTGTTTGTCGAAGATAGCGCATCTAAAGTAGAGTTAGCCATTCTATGTGTTCTGAGAGTTGCATAGTGTAACTCAGGGTTTAAACAAACCCGTAGAATGGTCGCTTGATACAGCCGTCTGAACTTGTATCCTTGGGAAGTTTTCCCTTGAATTTCAAGTCATTTTCTGCTATGTTTATTGGTTGTATTTCAAGATTTTGATGAATTTACATGGTACATTTGAAATGTTTTCAGATTAAAACTTGCAATGTTTATTGGTTGTATTTCAAGATTTTGATGAATTTACATGCTACGTTTGAAATGTTTTCAGATTAAAACTTGCGATGTTTATTGGTTGTATTTCAAGATTTTGATGAATTTACATGTTACATTTGAAGTGTTTTCAGATTAAAACTTGCAATCATTTCTGGAAGTGGCATGTGCTTGAGAAATAAAAATATTCTATAGAATGTTATTTGTGAAAATATTTGAATCTCTGGTGATGTTTCTGTTTTCGTGCTATCCTATCTATTATGCTCTATTTTGGTATTTGTCTATTGTTACGTGCATAACATAAATCTTATATATATGTAGATTGGTCTAGACTCCATTCTCCATCGTTCTACTTCTCCTATATTTCTGCCACATCTCTTCTCCCATACATCTTCAGCACACCAGAGTTCTATTTGTAGTATTTTTTTCACTTTAAATCAAAAGCACCACCACGAGGATTAAATTTCGCCTCCTCGTTGGAATGGAGTTGCCAGTCCAAAGTGGTTTTGAAGGATCAGACGCAGATAAAAAGACATCTATCCCGAATGCGAATAGATTTTTGTAGCCTCTGGATAATTCCTTAATCCAATCATTCGGAAAAGATTTTTCTCTGATTTCTAGGTGTTGAGAAAAATACAGTAATAATACAAAAGACCTCGAAAACCTTTCGCTGAGCGGTTGCCATACTGTAATATAATGCAGGCTTTCGCAAGTGGATGCGGACGGTGCTCTCGCTGCAAAGCATATTCGTCAGTAGATACACATAGAGCAATTCTCGAACAGCCCTCTCCCAAATTTCTCGAAATATTCTCGATTCTTTCTTCCAGCCAAACCAGTCGAGCGTTGGCATTACGATGAGTGGTACGATGCTGCGCTGGGCTGGGGCCATGACATGGAGGCTGCATCGAAGAAGCCAGGCCCCGACTTCCTCGTCGACCGGATACATTTCTAGTTTATTGACAAGAGATCGGTGCGCACAGCAGCAGTACAAAGCACAACAGTTTCGGCGTGCTTGGGAGTCCTCCTTCATCTGATTTCAGTGCAGGCAACGAATCAGGAACAGCCTCTCTCGTACTCCTGTGGAATGCATCCGCTTGTTTTTTCTGCCTCCACACGCAAAGACGAGAGCATCGAACGAATTGCACCTGCGGTCCCGGCCTCAGAGCGATAAGCACTTCAGCCACCGTCTCATTCGTTTTAGATCGTGCCAGAAAATCGCGGTGGACATGGTATCAGCCGGTGCCTCCTCATTAGAGGCAAACGTTTTCGATTCATTAACTGATGAAATCAACGGAAATAAAATTTATAATAGAATTGAAATTCTGCCGGTGGATTAGAGTCTTATGAAGCTCTCTCAACGCCCAGACCCGTACATTGTTGGTCCGGAAGCTCCGAGCGACGATGAAGAATCGGAGACGGTGCTATGTGTCTGTGAGAACTCGGTGAACCGTCTGCCGTCGTCACATCTGAAAGCAAATTCGCCGGCGAGTGTAATTCTCCTCATGATCAACATCAAATGGGCACAGATTGATATTGTCACCTGTTAACCATGAACAAGCGTCCGATATCTACCACATTTTCTCATCAGCGCTAGCTTCATCACGTGCTGGACGTGATGATGAGAGACAAGTCATACTGCGGCAGCGTAGCAGCAGAGGAGGAGACAGCATCGTGAGCACATAATACAAGGATGGCAAATTCGACTGAATATATGTCAGATGACCAGCCGAACAGAAGAGAAGGGAAGGGAAAGGAAGCGAATGGAGGGAGGGACTAGATTCCACGACAATTGCCTACAGAAGGAAGAGAGACACAGAGAGAGTGACTGATGAGCTCCATCCGACCCTGTCAGTGAACCACGTAGCGGCGCCATGACCTGGTCTACGATTAAGAAGAACGGCAACGCTGATCTGGAAGGCCAAACGTTAGCATTCCAAGAAATTCCAAAAGCTTCGTGATCAGTAATCAATGGCACACACGAGGAGACGAGACGTCGATCGTGTATCTCCGACAGTACAGTGTTTGTAGTAGTGGTACCAGTGTCAATTTGACCGAGGCACGTCTTATCTGCATATCATTTGACCACATAAATTCAGGTGCTTCGTAGAGCCCAGTGCTAAGCTCAACGCTTGTCACACTTCAATTGGTCTCTCGAGGCCATCGATTGGTCGAAATCGGTCGTACAGTCAGTTGAAACTGAAAGTGGGTGCTGGATGGAAGGTGGTGTCTCGAATCACTGCTCCGCTGTAGCTCATTCTAGCTTTACTTTCTAGAACCTTCTTTTGCATTCCTAGGCTGTTCTCCAGGTTGGGTTATGTGCTTATGGAAAGTTGTAAACTCGAAGATATATCCATTGAGCGAGGCCTACAGTTTCCATCGTATGATCAGACTGCGTGCAAGAGTTTATTAATCTTCTGACACTCACCTACCCTACCACTTGCCGGCTCCACTGCAGAACCTCGCTGCTTCCAATTTGAGACCAGCTGCTTCCTCCTGAACCCTGAACGCCCTGGTCCTGTCCTCCTCGACTATGACCACTACCGATCTTGCGAACTTGTAGATTATCTTAGACTCCGTCATCGTACTCCAAGATGCAGAGATCTGATACCACCCTTAACGAGCTGGATTCTTTCTGTCTCTAATTTCATCTGAGCTCCACCGGTCAACTTACCGAAGTATGACATTCATTCAATCTTGATACATCCTGATGCCTTGTGAAAGTGAATCGGCACCAAACGGTGGTGGTCTCAAGACCCTTGGACTCTTCATGTTGGAGTACCAGATCTCACTTCCGTACTAGATGTGAAGCTCGAAAAAAGTACAATGGTATTTAGACCCAGTTGTGCAAACCGAATTTTGAAGGGAGTCATGGCTAATGAACTTGGGAGGTGGCAGATTGAGTTGAATGCATGATTTTGCTGGGGCTTCCTTACTACATGGTTGGTTGACCGTGCTATGTCCATGTCGATGTGCATTAGCACTCGCTTGACAGAACTGTTGCTAACTTGCCGGTGGAAGAGTCCGAGTAGAAGATAATGCAAACGTGCTCAAATTGTACTGCTGGTCAGGGACTTGACACCACGGGGTCTTGCTCTTCCCACAGTGGATCGAACTGGTGGAGGCCAGATTCAGTAGTCGTTTCAAGAAAACATCAGCTGCCATTTTCCCTCCGAGGATTTCGAGGAATCCTCGAGACTGGCCTACGACGTGCTGAACTGGCGCAGCTGAAGGGTCAAAAGAGGTGCTTCTTTTCAACACTCTCGAGGCAGCAGAGGAAGGAATAGGAGCACGAGAAGGGCAAATTCATGAGTTGACTGCATTGACCATGCCACGGAAAGTGCACGCTGTCTGCTGCACCAAAAGAGGTCCCATCTCTAGATTCGAGGTACCGACTAACAAAGCTTCGGGTCTATGTTGCTCTGGTAAACTTTTCATGACAGCAGCAGCAGCAGCGAACCGTCCTTGTCCATTTGTCATGGCACTGTGCACAGACCCACCACCGCCACATCCTTCCAAAACTCTGCAGCAGATGAGGGCAAGCGAAAAGAGAACGAACTGTGCACTCATTTGTCTCCAAACATTTCACCACGAGTGGTTGATCCTTTCCATGTCTGGCCCTGCTCCATGAGCTACGAGACAAACTCTTGTTACTCGATTTGTTACAACCCCTGCAGCACTTTTCAAGGTTTTGGCACCTGCGCTTCGAAAGACGATTCTCCAACACAGATCTCGGTCCACGAGCAGCAGCACAAGAGATCTTCCCACAACCTCCACCAACTACTGAACTCGATCGACACTGGCTGGCATCTTGTCGACAGTGCGCACCGTGCACAGTTGAATAATATCTCATTCGAGTCAATCCTGTGCTTTATCTGCTGGTCGATGTTAGAAAATTCCTGCTTAGTCTTAAGATCAGATCATTATCTGTTGGTCGATGTAGAACAATTGCTGGCCAGTCTTGAGATCATAAGTGCGTGAGTGTAAGCGTCCAAACGACCCCCAAGTCTAGGAAAGGGCACCAGCTGGTTTGGATCCTGGTTTTCAGTAGGGAGCAGTTGACCTTAATTCTCAATGAAAGGGTGGAATAAGCCCGGATGCAATTAGCGGATCGAGGCTGCGAGAGGATCTAGTCACAAGAAATCAATCACATCTTGAGTGAGCTCAGCCGACTGGTTCAGGAGCACCCACCGGCGGGATCGAGGTGGTTAGCAGATCCGGTCGTCACTCGCAGCCTCCACGCAGCTTGTGCACATATGTCAAAGGAGATGAAATCTGACTTTTTGCACATCTCGTAAATCACGCTCTGCTTCCCCCCGCCACGGTGAATTTGATGAACCCTGCTTACCCTCTCGATGCACCAAGCTCCAAGACAAGGTGATCTCATGACCATGCCGAGGTCACGGCACTGTAGGCGAGCGTTTGTGGCGATCTTCCATATCTCGCCAGATGCCAAAGCGCCGACTAGACCTGCAGAGGAAATATTATAAAACAAATCATATAAAACCACCTCCTTCAAACATGCCCCTCGTCGTTTGATTCCTATGGCCCTGGCCTGCGATGATCTGCCCAACCAGTGTCATGATCAGGTAGAATTGGTACCTTCGCACGTGACGCATGGTTCCAAAATCCAGACGAGAGCACGAAACGAAGCGAACCAGATTGGTTCCGGCCTTCGCCGAGTCTCGCAGGCATTGAACAACTGTCCCAGCCCAGCTCGGAGTTACCTCAACTGACACTCGAATCTAGTCTGCTGTGAAATAATGTCCAAAGGCTGGGCCCCTAGTTGGACCGGATTCGGGATAAATGTCAGCTGCAAGTGATTACAAATCGATCGAATTTCTTCGCGACAGATGAGTCGAAGACTCTACTGCCCAGCCCAGTAGGAAGATTTCAGCAGCGACGTCTAATGCTGCTGCGGCTTCTCGTTCGTGAACGAGGAAAGAATCACACCACGAGCTCGAGGCTCTATCTACACTATTCATGAAATTTAAAGCTAGATACACCTTCCGTCCAGATCGTGTGGAGTCACAGAGCCCTGTAAAATGACATCGAATAGGTTGGCAAGCTGACGATTATCCACACCAGTATATCTAGCTATTGATCTGTAGTTGGTCAACAACAGAACAACATATAAACCACAATCCTTTGAAAGGAAAGATCGACTACGGAATAACAAAAGATCTTATGCTCAGTAGCTTCCCCTCGCCCATGTGGGAGCGTTCAATGGCATAAAGGGGAGGAAATCTGGCTGTGGCGACAACATCATGCCTCTGGATACTTGTGTCAGGCATTCATGTCTAATGTGTGTCAAGAACTCGACAATCGCATCAACAGCAATTTGTGTCTGGGTTGGAGACATGGTGCGTGGTGAAGGCTGCTGAATCTATTTACCAAAACCAGCTCTGATCAGCAGACCGAAACTATGGCCAGTCTTCACAGCACTGGATGTATGAGCTGTCGTTGTCGGGCCTCTGCCAGAAAGCATTGGGGTCAAACCTCTGGTGCTGAGTTTATACTCACACAGGTCTCGTTCCACCTGAAGTTTTTCAGAGGGCACACACACGCAGACGGCACAGCACAGCTCACAGTGTTCAAGCACTAGAACCGAGGGGCATGACGGTAACAAAGAGAAAAGGACTAAACATCGACCCGCGTGACCACGTAGTCTGACTGCGATGAAATTAATGCAATTACATAGAATTCAGAGGGAAGATTGTAAGGCCATGACATTGGCTGAGTTGCTTACAGAAAGACTCCATGCTCCGGGGATTTGGGCAGCGCCCTTAATTTCCCCAGGACCCAAAACGACTGTGCTCTAAAACCCTCACAAGTAATGACAGGAGGTTCGAATATTGCACCCCGGAAACCAAGGAGCTCCTCCAGGAGACTCATCAGTAAAGCTCTCAACCAGAGAATTCTAGGAACGCTAGAAATGTGAACGCGTCAGGTTATAATAAAATATCTCGGGCAGCTGGGCTCAGCACTTCGAGCCATAGCCTCTTACTGGGGGTCATTCATTGCTGGTGAGGGGGTCACACCACAGCATCAACAATCACCTAGAATATATAAATTCCTGCAACAGTCCTACAGCATTTAGAACACACGCTGCGCTTGCGAGGGTGAGGGCGAAGCATGACTTCCCTTCATCCAACAGACTGACTCGAAACACGGGGAGCTGACATAAGCTTTGCAACACAATGATCTGGAGTTGACAAACGACAGTCTTGTCGTTCAGCTTAGAACGAGCGAGTGATGCATACGGAGGACTTTCATGACGATGTCGACAAGACTGAGAACAACGATAATCATGAGACATTTAATCATGGCGTAACAGAATGGGCACTTTCCACGATAAACATTCATATTCAGCACGAAGTATATGGTCAGGTCTAGCAAGCTGTTGGTCTGCCTTCCTGCTTGCGTCCTGTCCAGAGTGAAATGCACCGATTCCCAGTTTCATCACAAATTCGTAGGCACTCTATTCTATCGGGTGTGATGCTTTTTCTTCTCCATAAATCTATTTTGATCTTTCGCGTGTAGAAAAAAGACTCCAAAACGGAAGCATGAAGCGAACAACTCGTTGCAGTTACGATGAATTAGAGTTGCAGATTATAACACCTGAAATTTAAGGTGCCTCTTGTACAGAAGAAGAATGGAGATACGCAGTCCACCGAGAAGACTACGCAAGTATCGGTAATATTCGCTGACTTGAAGCTCAATTTTTCCTGTGTTTATATCGTAAGGAGAAAATAAGGATCACTCGTCTACTGGGCCCTAATAATTACATGTCCTCGTCACGGAGGAGATAGAACCTTGTAACAAAAAGCTAATATTACACAACCAGACGAGGTCAATGCTGTGACCACTGAATGCTTTTCAAATCAATTCCCTCTTGCACCATCTCCCAAAGCGGGCTCATTTGCCTCAACTTCTGCACTCGAGTGACAGTCAGTGCCACGGCCCTGTCGATCTCCTCCTTCGTGGTGAATCTCCCGAATCCGAACCTGATCGATGTGTGAGCCATGTCGTCCTCCACACCCAAAGCCCTCAGGACATACGACGGCTCGAGACTCGCGCTGGTGCACGCACTGCCGCTGGAAACCGCAACTTCCTTCAACCCCATGAGCAGACTCTCTCCCTCGACGTACGAGAAGGAAATGTTGAGGTTTCCGGCGTATCGATGTTCCATGCTCCCGTTTATGACGAGCCCCTGAACCTGCGACGAGATGCCCTTCAGAAACCGCTGCTGCAATTCCAGTATGTGCTTCTCGTCGTTCTCCATCTCTTGCATCGCAACCTCGCAGGCAGCGCCCATTCCCACAGCCAGAGGAGTCGCCACGGTTCCGCTTCGAATGCCCCTCTCTTGGCCACCCCCGCTCATCTGCGCTTCAACCCTAACTCGAGGTCTCCTCCGCAAGTAGATGGCCCCGACTCCCTTGGGGCCGTAAATCTTGTGCGCACTGATGGACATCAAATCGATCTTCATCTCGTCGACATCGATGGGCACCTTGCCTGCAGCTTGAGCGGCATCGGTGTGGAAGAAGATCTTATGCTTGCGGCAGATTTCTCCGATTTCCTTGATCGGTTGGATAACGCCGATCTCGTTGTTCACGAACATGACGGACACCAAGCAGGTATCGGGTCGAATGGCTGCCTTGAGCTCCTCGAGGTCGATGAGCCCATCTTGCTTCACCGGGAGGTAGGTCACATCGAACCCTTCCTGCTGCAAGTGACGGCAGGAGTCGAGCACGCACTTGTGCTCCGTCTGCGTGGTGATGACATGCTTCTTCTTGTCCTTGTAGAAGTGAGCGACACCCTTGACAGCGATGTTGTTGGCTTCGGTGGCTCCCGAGGTGAAGATGATCTCCTTCGAGTTGGCGCCGATGAGCTTGGCGATCTGCTCGCGAGCTCGCTCGACGGCGTCCTCGCTCTCCCACCCGTAGACGTGCGTGCGCGAGTGGGGATTTCCATACTGGTCGATGAAGAAGGGCAGCATCGCATCGAGAACTCGGGGGTCGACGGGCGACGTCGCCTGCATATCCAGGTACAGAGGTCGGCCGGGCATCTTCACTCCCTTCATCATCACGGCCGGAGTATCGTCATCCTCCACCGCCGCGGCTGCCGATGCCCCGGAATGGTGCCGCACCGAGCTCCACACGGGCGCAATCCTGCCCAGGCTTGAAATCTCTCCCCCCGGCGCTGCTGCGCCAGCTCGAGCTTGCCATGCCTGCGACAAAGCCCTAGCGACCGTGCGCTGCAAAAGCGCTCGCCCCGTCATCCCTCCCTCCCTCCCTCCCTCACCTAATCACTCTCCCGATCACTCCCTCCTCCTCCACGAATTCCAATTCTGCCACCTGAATTTCACAGATCGAGCCAATTAGTCCAATTCTCTACAAAATTGCTCGATCCACAAACATCGACGAAACAAACCACGAGAACCCCTAATTCCAAAACTGCACGAGCTGCACCTACACCTCAAAGAATTGCTCTAATCCACTCGCCGCTGGCAGCAGCCATACCTTGTCACGCATGAAATGGAACAATCCAACAATCCAAAGACGAGGCCGGCCCCCTGGAAGTGGCACTGGCACAGAATCAGAAAACGTCTAAGCACCAACTGCTTCCCTTCCCTCGCCTCGCCTCCCCTTCACTTCCTCCTCTTCCCCTCTCTACCCCCTCGCCTCTCCGGCCAACGTACCTGCGTGCAGATAGGTTCGAATTCCTGGGGCAGCGCTTGGCTTGACGCAGTTGCGTCACCGTATTCGTCGTCTTCGCTCGCTGCTTCTTTCGATCGTTGGGGGCTGGGGGCTGGGGTTGTGGGTGGGGGTAGGGGTGAGGGTGGCTTTGGCCGCAAGAAAATGGGGCTCGTTGTGTTGTCACTCGCTAGGGTCGCTTTCCCCCGAAGCAGACATCATTTGGGGGCAACAGTCTCTTGGCACTTGGGGTTACCCTGAGGCCGCGCCTCGCATCCGTTAGCACTAATTTGGCGTAAGCCCTTTGCCCGGAGCCGACTCGCCGGCTGTCGTCTTCGTTGAGAGCGGGGTTAGCGTCCGAAGCCGACAACAAGCTGGGGCTTCCGATGCGCTTATCTTTCAGCCTCCCCTCGTCTCTTCCTTTTCGCTATTCGCGCCTCGTTTTCGCTAATTATTAAGCTCCTCCGTTCCTTCTTCTCGTACTGTCTTGATTTCTTTCGAGTCGGCAGTTGGGAAGGTACACGAAGGACGGATTTGCGGGTACAGTGCATGACTGCTTAATCAGGCCCGAAGTCACGTTGCTAATCAGTGGCCCTGCTCCAGAACTTCAGTGTAACGCTGCCGTACCATATGGCCCCTACCGAACGACAGACAGACTGGAGACGTTCCACTTGCCAAAGACTTGCTCGAGCTCTGACCTGCTCGAGCATGGAACCAAGCGTCATGGACCCGCTGGTTGTGACCTAGGGGTACGACACCCACTGTCTCCAGGCAAGCTCATGCTGTTGGAGTGCTACGGGCTTATCCTGCTCGTTTATGAGCTAGACTGTGCAAACCTCCAAAAATCCAGAGGTTCGCTGCAGTTATCGATTAAAGTCGAAAGGTGATGCTCACTGAGGTGAAATACAATGAAATGTGTCAAAATAGGCACCATAATAATCCGGTGAACGTATGTGGTCACCGATCAGTCATCATGAGCCTGATCAGTCAGACTCTTCAGGGTTACAGTCCTATTTCCGTGCTCATATAATTCCACTTCCATGGCCATGGGTGACATTCAAGGTTCATCACGTGGAGATATGCACAAGCCTTTGAAACAACAATCCGAATATTTGGTCCGTGTCCAAATGTACATGGAAACAATGTCTGGTCATTTCATTAGACCAAAAAGTATGACAAGACTCTGAGACAGCGCTACGTTGGGCAAAGCTAGCCTGCCACTCAGACAAACCTACGCTGGGAACTAGGACCCTTAGAAGTTTTCCATCATTTTCCTCTACTGTTTTTCTCTCTCGATCAGGAACAGTCAGAAGGATGGTACTAACGAAACCCGACCACTCCGAACGAATTTTCAAAAACAATCCAAATGGTCACTAATACGTCAGTAACTCGCAGAATGACTACATGCTTGCAAGGAGGCCAAGGTTGTCCTGACCAGACAAGCTACTTGAACAAACCAATCAGTCCCTACGGTCGGTCCAGTCAGTGCTGTTGACTACTTACTTTCAGAAGAAAAGAACTGATCTACAAGGTTTCTGGTTGCATAGATACTCAGAGAACAGGTTCCTAGCTAAGTTTTTACACAAGTCTTCAGGACATCCCAGAAGGACTTACGGCCTCTACATAAAAGGAAAAAACTTTGCGACATTACACCCCCAGGATACAGGAGACTAGGTTTATGCAACAATCGGTATCTAAAATTTCTAGATACCAGATAAAAGTTTGGACTAACCACCCGCCGAGTGCTCATCGTTCAACTTCTGCATACGAGATCACTCTTTCGAGTGGGTCCATTAAGCATAGACGGAATGATCAATCCTCACCGACAATTAATCTGCCAAAATCGTCTTTTACTTTGACCGTAACAAACCTAAAATTTGTTGTTACATGGCAAACCCGGGATGTGAGTCAATGCCCACAGTTTTCTCAATGGGTGGTGGCCCTCCCTCCATCCCGTGAAGAACCTCAACACTAACTAGTGTACAATGTGCATCACAAAAGACGACGCCGCAGGCGGTAACTTTGACCGGCCGTAACTCAACTTTCCAAGCTAAACTAAAAGGTGTGACATATCTGCGTCCAACCGACCTCGTAGAATCAAAAATTACTGCACTAGGCACCTATAACTCCGGCTCGTTGGTAGACTGCACCAGTGCGGAGTTCCTCTAAACTGTCAATATCCCTGAAGCCTCCAACTTCCCGCAATCCTGACCACCCTCGCCGAGTTAGAAACTCACGAAATTCTTCTTCAGTGTATAGAGTCTTGCTCTCGGTGCTACCTGTCAAGCGATCCGATGTATCGTAGACACATATTTTGACAGTAATTCCTGACAAAGCATTGCATCATGGTTAGCACGTGGAACCTTCGCATGGCCACCCTCACAAACAACCAGAAGGTAAGGTGATCCCTAAACCAGGAGACTCCTAACTTCTCTTTGGACTCACCTGGATCCAGGTTCAGGGTGTACTCCCCTGGGGGCATATCTCTGCTGAGCGTCTGCACTACACCTTCGTCATCCTCCAGCCAGAAAGCTCGCTTGGAGCGCAGACCAAATGCAGTCTTCAGCGATTCTTTTATGGATTCAAATGGCCCATCGATCCGGACTCGCCGTACCACATCTCCACACTTGACAACTATGACCTTGCCTCCTGCTGGAGCTGCTGGTCGACGCTCTCCGCCTGCAACGAGAGACACAAAGTATTAACGCTTCAATCTCTCAAGCCCAAAGAACACCCAGAGAGACACTACGGACACCTCGACTTTCATCCAATCATTTCAGCAGATGCGTCGTTGCAGACATGTATTGACTATTAGCTGCAAGATGAGCGAGACCTGCTGCGCGAAAAAAAGTACTCACCATTAGCATTCGCATCCCTCCAATACTGCTGCGGTGGAGTGATCCCATTAGCTACCACCATGCTAGTATGTACCATCCCATCGGTGGAAGGAATAGCTGCCGGGTGACCATCATGGTCCAGTCGACGCTCGAGATTGAGTGCAGCCCTGATGGGTACTGTCATCACAACAAACAACTTCTTCAGATTCTACTCTCAAGTATGGACTGCCTTGGGAAACAAAGTAACAAACTATATATTTTTCCTGGGCCAAAAGTAGAGACAAACAACAGACTCAACATGAAAGATTGCAGCCCAAACCTTCCAAAGCACCCATCCGAGGGACTAAGGGCTTCACATATTGACATACTCCTCGGCCCGAAACAGATTCAAATTCAAAAATTGAGTCGTTGGATTGAACAACGGATTCATACTAGCTCGGGACACAGCCTACATTCGTGTCGTAAACTAAGGACAGAATCCATGAAAAACCGTAAAAGCCCTGTCATTATTTGACGATAAATTTTTTATTTGTACTTCGCCTTGGCCAAAACCTTAACACACCTCTTCTTTGCTCTTCATCTGGCGGATACTCCTGACTCCCTTAACTTTAACGTATTGAAAATGGATGCATTAATGGGACCTGAACCTTTCGTGTGGTCAAGATCGAACCTTGTGATTAGCCATGATGATCTATACTACAACGATGCGAGTACGAGCTGCAGTTAATTAATTCCCACTCACCAACTCACAGTTGTAAATCATAACAATGAAGGATATCATCCACTATAAACAGAAAATAAAATTACATTCTCAAACTCCTGTTCAAACGGCTGCCTGTCAGCTGCAGTTGCCTATCACCACGGTTCAAGAAGTCCTTCCATTCGGAAAAAGGTTCAAAGGCAGGAATATAGCCGTAACCGTGAATCACGTCGTGGAGGAGGATATCAGATTCCCAATTTCTCTGGTCTACTGGAAATTGACTGATCCGCAAAAACGCACGGAGAGCAGTCACCTGTCGATCCGGGCCGTACAGAACACTAAGCTGAAGTTCGGCATCGAAGAAATCACGACCCGACATAGGCTGACTTGTTTATGACAGCACGAGCAATTAACTCAAGAGTACGAGGCGTAAGACCAAGAGACCAAGATTGCTTCAAGGCAGAGTATTCCGTGAGACTGACATTGTTACAGGTTACCAGGATGGCAATCTAAGGAGACAGGGACCCGTACCCGGTCTTCTGAACGCAACGTGAGGCCAACGATGATCTTTTCCTCGAATGATACCCAGCTAGGACGTGGAGTTTATATAAACACGAGAAGATGAGTGAGACCAAAGTAAAGCACCAATCATGAAGAGTGCGAGGCTGGCAGATTTCCTGCAATTGTTACCTTTTCCTGGCGATGCAATCGGTTCGAGCTTATTGAGCGGCGGAGGACTCTTGAGAGGAATTTGCGCTTTGGCCCTGTCACCCAAGAGTTCCTCAAGATCCTTGTAACATGCAACCTTGGCTGATCCTCCCCTATCTTGGTGCTTGGCTTTCTTATACTCCTTGAGCAAATTCCTCCATTTGTCAGTGCACATTGTGGCGGATCTCTCGTATCCTCGTTCTTTCATCTTCGTGGATATCTGCTCCCACAGATGTTTGTTCGACTTTGAGGTATTAAACAAGGTGTCCATTTCTTTCCGCAGTGCAATCAGAGCTTTGATCTCGTCCTGCACCCATGTTTCTGCTCTTTTCTTCGGGGTCTTAATCTCGGATTCGTCCGCAGGCGGGTCCGAGAGAATCAGTTGCTGCGGCGACGGTTGCAGCTGTTGGGGTGGCACAGCGTTTGACACCACCTCCATTCTATATGGGCTATGTCACGAGAGAAATTTTTCGACGTTCGTTTCGCTGCGGCAGTTGACCTAATCTATTCTGGAGTTCCCATCAGCCTGATGCAGCACAGGGATGATCTACCACGAGCCAGACCACGAGCCGGCAGTCGGACTCTGGGCCCGGCCTCGGACTCGGAGGGGATGGTGCGGCGTGCTCCCACGACTCTACCTCGATGGACCACCACAGATGACAACAAGATAGGCTAGATTACGAGCCCACCCACCCGGAGATTCCCAGCGCGGACCAGACGAGCAATGTGCGTGAAAGATTAGGGCATTTCCGCACCTCGACCCGACCCGACCTCTATGGGGAAAAATGGCTCCGAGCACAAGTCCGCGGGCGAGAACCGCTAGCACTTCGCGCAGGCACAACCGGGAGATCCCGCTTGATTCACATGAGAGCAGAGGTCGGTGTGCAGAATGCAGCACGATGGCGGAAACGAGGGACGGAATGGCCAGGGACAAGACGGAAGCGGAAAAGGCATAATTCGCAGTCAGCTGTCCGTATGGCTGGGCAAGGATTGCTTGCTCCGCCGAGGCCAGTCGGCCCGAGTCCGAGCCCGAGGCCGAGTCCGGCTGGACGCTGGGCGATTGCTCGGAACAGAGCCGGGAAGAAGACGACGGAGCACAAGGAGTGGAGGAGTGGAGGAGTTGAGGCACGATGTTCTGTTGGGGCACGCTGACGATGATCAAGAGGGCGGTGATGGTGATGATGATGAAGATGACTGGCCACACGGAAGCGTTGAATGGATCCAAGGCAGTGAGAGACGAGCCAAGAAAATTACATGCCAGTGCGCATTCCCCTCACTTCACCAATTGCCCGTGCCACTGTCTATGTCAAAGTCGGACCAAACCACAAGCGAACACAAACCTCAACTCCAATCAATACGACCCCCTAAGCAAGGCCGAATCATCGAGTCTCGGAGCTGCCAAAAACCGCCCCTTCCCTCCGCTGGTACACCTTATCCCCTCCTTCCCCTGCTCTTCTCTCCAGAATTTCCCCATCCCTCCCCACTCGTCCCATAACAGAAATCCCCGTGCTCGCTTTCCACCACCACCTTCTTCCTCCTCCTCCTCCTCTTCTTCCTCCCTGTCTCGCCTTCTCTCCTCTCCTCTCCTCTGCTCTGCTCTCTTCTCGTCTCGTGTCTTCTCTTCTCGTTGCTGCCGAGGAACAGCACCGAACTGGAACCGCTCGCTCGCTGGGCTTCTCGTCCGAAAACCCGAGCGAAACCGTCGATCGAAAACCCTGGATCCGCCAATCACTTACATCTCAAGACAAATTTGCCATCCGCAAGCTGAATCGCGACCAAATCTCAATCTCTGGCCCGGCCCCCCATCCCCTCCTCGAGTCTGACTCGCTGCCTTCCTTCCTTCCTTCCTTCCTTGCTGCCTTCCTTTACTTCCGTCCCTCGGCCTCGCCTTCCCCTCCCCCCCTTGCTCCCCTTCCCTCGGTCTGGTCCGCTCCGCCCCCTCCTCGGGCTTCTTCAGCACCCCCCGCCCAGCCAGCGGTGCAGGATGAAAGAAGCCCGATGGCAGGCCCGCCCCCTCCCTCCCCTCCCTCCCTCCCTCCCTCCCTCTCTCTCCCCCTTCCTCTTCCCCAGAGCTCCCAGAAAGCGCAGACACAGACACCGAACGAGCAGCAGAGCAGAGCAGAGAGCGAGCGAGAGAGACGGGAACGTCTGAGACTCTGAGCCAGTGGCGAGCGAGCGAGAGGGAGAGCTCGCTAGTGACTTAACAGGAACTACTACTTCCTCCCTCCTCCACCTCCACCACCAGAACCGCAACTTCGTGTTCGTTTGTCCATCTCCTGTCCTCTCTCTTCTCTTTCTCTCTTTCTCCGCCTCCCTTTCTTTCTACCTCACCTCATGCTCTGCACTTCTCTTCTCTTCGATTGAAGGCAAGGACGGGGTGGGCGAGAGTTCAGTGCGCGTCCTTGTCGTTGTCGTCGTCGTCGTCGTCTTCTATGGGAGGAAGAGCCGACGGAAGACAAACAGCGGACGAAGAAGGAAAGAAGAAGAAGAGAGCAGCAAAGCGGGCGAGGGGGAGGACGAGGCGATGAGGATCGAGAGAGCGGATGATGATGGTGCACAGCGATCGGGGGCGAGCGAAGAAGGAAAGACAGGCACGAACGGAGGACCGGGCTAAGGAAAGTACGGAGGGAGGGAGGGAGGGAGGGACAATGGAATGAGGACTGGGCCTCGGCAGGGGCTACTGCGCGAATGGCGGACAGTGTCATGCGAAGGGTTTAGGACATTACGACTGGGGGCTGCGGGCCAGCCCTTCGCAAGGGCCAGGAACGTCGCTGCCAGGAGAAAGAAGAAGATCGCGAAGCCGGACGAGAAAGAGAGAGAGAGAGAGGAGAAGCGAGTGAAGCGCGTGAACGTGTTGTGTTCTATGTACGCCGGAAAACTGTACTTTCACCGCTGTGGAAATTTACTTTTTCCACCCGCCCGCCCGCCTGCGAGGGAGCCTGGGGGGCAATATTCTTACCACCCGTAGCCAGGATGCGGGGGGAGGGCGAGAGGGAGAAAAGAGGTCGTCAGGTCGACCGGTCTTCTCCCCCTCTGCCACCATCTACACATCTACGGCTACTGTGAATCGGGACATTCCACTGGAGACAGCACGGTCCCGCCGGCTCTGACCGTCCTCTCCCCCTTTATTGCCATATCCCGGTTCCCGGTGAGAGCTCGCCATTAGCACCCCGCCACAAGAACATGTTCATCGAGCCCCCGACCGGCTCGCGCTGCCGGCTCGTCATTCGCTCCCCACTACAAGAACGCTCCGATGTGGCCCCGTCCCCTCTTCCTACAAGAGCAAGAACAGAACATTCTCCTCTGACCCATTCCACCGTTACTGGTTGGCACTTTTTAACTGAACATAAGAACCTCTCGATGTTAGAACCTCCTCTCCATGCCCGGACGCTCGGTTGACGGCCTCGGTTGACTATTCTTTGATTTGCTAGCCCCCGGCCGAAGGCCAGCAGCGCCATCATGCGCATTAGTTTATTTGTAGTTTCCCTCAGGGGTCTAATTCTACCCCGTCTTCCGGTTGTGTTCTTATATGGAAGATGGCGTCACCGAGTACCTCCGCCCTGGTGCATGTAGTGTTCCGAGAATGTCTGCTGGCCCGGTCGCCCACCACCCGATCGCCCGGTCGCGTCTTTCTCTTTCCTCCGTGCCATCGGCGGTTCCATCTCCCCCGAGATATCCACCGGCCCCACCGCCTTACAGCCCCAAGCACCGGGCCTAGCGAAGCCCGGACTGGGACACCGCCGCGACGTCGCTTTCGACCGCGCTGGAGGTGGCAGTGGATTCCGTGCTGGGCTTGGCCAGATTCTGGCGATGGATAACGACGTCGGAGGGAGGGCGTTCACATCGAGCAGGGCTCTGCCGCCCTTCCGCCTGTTGGGCTGCTGCTATTCGAGGGGGCTGGGGTAGAGATCGCGACCTCCCAGTGACGGCGCGCCGAAGGAAGCCCCGGGAGCGCCTTTCCTCGCACATCGGCCCCGGGGGCAGGACCACCTCCGGGGACGGACTGTCGGGCGGAACCCAGTGAGGCGACGTCGTCTTATTGTGCGACCTCCGCGACTGGGATCTGACGCGGGGCTGGCCGAGGGAGTCCACGGAACATGATCCTCGAATGGCGCTGGTCAGATCCGCGAGGGGGGAGGGTAGGGGCTGGGGGTGGGGTAAAAGAGGAAAGAAGGGCAGGGGGAAAGAAACCGGGCGGCTGGAATGGCCCGGTGTCATTCAAACTGGATAGTTCGAGGCGATCCACGATCCATCCATCCGTCTGTCCGTCCATCAATCCATCCATCCGTCTGTCCGTCCACGGCGCCTGCGAGGCGGGGGCTCTGACTTGCATGGATTCTGGGGGATGCGCAGTGGGGCCAGCCACGCGTCAGACCGTGACGCGACGCCCTCGCTGGCGGGCCTCGGCCTTGTTGATAGTAACGGGTGACGGCGACGACGGCGATGGACGGTGGCCCGGCCGACAGGGACATTCCCGCTACCAACTATCGGCGTCAGGGACGGACGGGCAGGGCCAGTCGGAGGGAGGTACAGTACAGTACCAAAGCGGGGAACCGTGGGCAGCCAGTCAAAAGCGGGACGGGGCCACCGGCTGGGCCCCGGGGCCTGGGAGCGCCTTGTCACCCGGGACTGAGTTCGTACCGAGGCCGCGGTCAGTGACAACAACAGCCCCACTTCCGCTTGGCAACACAAAAGCGTGAAGCACCCCGACGCTGAGACCAGAGGAGTAAAGTAAAAGCTGATCTGATCTCGGGAGTTGGTACAGTAAGCCCCTATTAAGCGCCTTTTAACCCTGTCAGTTTAAACGAGGTGCTTGGACGGGTGGTGAGGTGTTAACTGGGAGGTCGTGTGGGTGGGTTAGCAGGTACCTAGCTTGCTTGCTAGCTAGCTAGGTGGTGGCAGCATGAGGCGGAATTATATTCCCCTCTTTCACATCTTCAAAGCCCTCAAAATTCTCTATGTCTGCATGATTGTTTCCTCCCAAGCCCTCCCGGGGCTTGGAGGAATGCTATTCTGCTATCCCGGTGCTTCCCCTTGAGACCCAAACATGGGTGTCATCGGAAACTGGAGGGGTGGCGCTTCTTCAGTGGGTGCCGATCGAGCACCCGGGATAGAGCTGGGTGGGGAAGGTGGTGGTGGGGGTAAGGTAAGGAAGGGGTTGGAATCAGGCACGGTTGTATGATATGGCAGCAGGGATGAGCCGACATCCCCTCCTCGCCCAGGTCCCAGTATTTTAAGCCCTCGATAACCCTTGTAAACTCTGCTTTCAATCACGAGTACCACAATCATTCACTCAACAGACTCAACACTCGCTCTCTCTCTCTCTCTCACCACCCTCTCCAGGTTTCCTTCCTCTCAAGTAAGCTAATTGCAGTAAGCAAGTGCATCGGCTCATCATCAAGCTCTGCATTAAATATCTGTTCTCGCACTGATCATTCTATTACGAAGTCTGCCTCCGTCTGCTATGATGTAAACATGTACTACCCTGCCCTCGCTCCAATGCCTGGCTCTAGAGACGTAGTGCAAAGCAAAGCACCCACGCTGTGAGTGAGCAAAAGTAAGCCGCCGATCGTACGTAAAATCCCTCACTCACTCACTCAATCACTCACTGATGGAGGATAACTCAGTAAAGGAAAGCGGGGACAAGATATTGGGAAACTGCACTCCCATCAAAAATCTACCACCACCACTTCTTCTACCACTGCAAATAGATGGACTCGTTGCAAGTGCTGTTACCTTTTTCGCTTTTTTATTGTACAGTGATCCGGGTGATTCGATTGATTGATTGTGATTCCAAGGCAAGAGAAATGTGTCCCGGGAGCTTTAATCAAAGTTACAAGGGAGAGGGGAGTGGAGGTTATGTCAACTGGAGGGACACGGAACTTGAAGGAAAGAGCACAGGCACAGGAGGAGGAGGTGGTGGTGGTGGTGGTGGAGGGGAGGGTTTAGAACTTGGATAGTCTCTACGTAAGCGGTGTGAGGTCCAATGAGTAGGTTAGAGGAAAGGTGAGATTCTGACCAAACCCCAACCACACGAGAGTAGACTAGCGTGAGGAGTTATATGCAGAGGGTCTAGTGAAATCATTCTCATCAAAGTAAAGTTAGAATCTTTGCCTAACAACAAGTTGCAGCTTTAGTTCAATCATGGTGCTTGCTTGGATGCATTACCTCCTCTTCCTCCTGTGTTCCCCTTGTACTTATTGATAACATATTGCTAACTGCAGATTCTCTCCCCCTTTCATGTGAATGTAAGCTGAGATATATCTGGAACATGCCTTAGAATCTCTCATTAGAACTCCGAGAGAATCCACACATTTTACACATTGCGACCAGTAACTTCTTTCATTCATCTTGCATGCAATTTAGTCTTCCACCGTGAAAGCTCGCATCTTCAAGGTTATTTTCCAATGTTGTATTCATTGTAGGGCCAAGAGTTATAAAATTTAACGCTCATGTTAACGACTTGGGAAGGAGGGTATCACTCCAATTTTTTCTCCTTATTGACAAGTAATTTGGAGGTATGGCTAAAACTCGTTAATTGTCATATCCTCCTCGATTGCTGGGGTACCTTAAGTCTCCCTTCCATAAGTTCCTCATGTGCATGAGATGGTTACAAATTCTGATATAGTCACGTTGAAAAAATATATTCCGTCTAATCCATTCCATGAATATTTACAATGAGAATTAGTCAATAGAGAGCAGTCAATCGATGATCAATTAAATTAATTTCTCAATTTGAAGTCGGTCGAACCATAAAGATTAAAGTCAAAGTAGAGACTCAGCTCAAAAATAGATATCAAGGCTGATTTGTGTAGGAACTTAAAATGTGTCTATGTTCTTTTCATTCGGAGTCCACCAAATGTCCAAAAAAACAGTCCACAATCAAACTACACAAAGATAATAATGGAAAGAACACAGAATGATGATTGATATCCTGCTTTATCACATACCTAGCTACTTTCCTGGTGAATCAACAATTGTCCACGTTCTCTCCATAAGAAATCAAGCGACGCCTGAAGATAAAGGCATGCCGTTCTAGGACACACAACGCCAAGTTTCAGTGAAGCTTATATTTGGCACGCGTCTATCCAGTCGTCTGCTGCATTATCAACCCTCTAATATATCCACACACAAAAACAAGAGAAATACGAATGTGGGAATAACCACAAAACTGATGATCAAACCACCGATCTGAGCTGTAGACATGGCGCTTGAGAGGATTCTTTGTGAGCCGCGTACCCTACATTGAGCATTGCAAACTGATGCCAAATGTCAAGCCGACCCGGTTTCAACTTGCTTTTAAGCACTTAGACTGTTAGACCTGAGCCTTAAATGGACAATTTTGGAAGTAACCATGATACTGGAAATTCAAAAAGAAAGTAAGTTTTAAATAGAAAAGTGCGCTGACCCGTGACCATGACCAGATCTTGTTCTCCTTCCCCGCTTTTTTGCATGAACTTGGACCATGATATTGGAATTGTTTCACTATCCGACTTGTGTGCCAAATGTACCGAATAAAATCATCAGCAGTTCCTGAACCATCAGGAGCAGACTTTTATCTAGACTTAGCACAACGGAGCACTAACCATATTCAGTGCTAGGTCTTATAGATTCAATTAGAGAACTACTGGAATTAAACCTTTTAGGAGGAAACGATTTCAATGAAGCATACATTCAACAAGTTTTCGTTGAAGTAACTCAAATGTGTGAGTCACATCTTTTAACAAGCTCCGGAGATTCTATATCATTATAGAGAACTTTGAAAGAATTCGCTCTGAGCAGATCCCGCATGATAAAGAAGGGACGGTTTGAGAATTAAAGAATCATTTTATTTCTAGTAATAATCACCTCCATTAAATTATCACCAGAAAAACTCCAGGAAATCACCAAGTGTAGCACAATAAACGTATATGGTTTGAGTTTGTTCGAAACCTTCAACGTACTGAGAATGTTAACACTTGACTCAGGATTAGACGAAACTTGTCAAAATGGATCCAGCTAGTCTAGTTCAAAGCCATTGATAATGTAGTCAATGGCAGAGGATAGATTGCAAGATCAAATCAAATCACATTGGAATGTGTCATTCTTTCGATCCATTCAGTAATCTCATCAGTCATATGGTCTACTGATGTACTGGGCCTTGTTTCGGGACGAGGGTTTAGGATTTAGGACCTAAACTTTAAGTACAACCACAGTCAAGCTAAACCCATCACATAATGTGTGTGATGGGTGTAAACCCTGAGACCTCGACTGCACATCATCAAGGCAGACATGGACTTTCCTGAAAGAAGAAATGAATTGCATGCTACGACATTTTTATCCGTCTCAACAACTTTGTCTTGCGTCGTAAGAAGAGACTTACCAAACCTTCAAAGTCGACCATTTTCTTATCTTCTGTATGTGGACTCCATCAACGACCTTATGCAGGTCACACATTCGAAATTTACAATGTCGATGGTAGCGCGCATGGTGCGGAACTGTGAAGTGTTTAGGCTTTTCGTTGTGACGAGGGAAAAGTCTGCAGTCGCAAACGGAACAAGCAAACCGATTTGCTGTCGACGGTTACGGGTATCAAAGGATGTAGAGGGAGAATCTCTCATGTCTTACGCTTTTTCCAGCTTTTTATTCTTCTCAATCTATTTTGTGGAGGTTGACTTCTTCTGTCGCTGAGCTACTGGTTTTCCCGCCTCATTTATTATCTTTGTTCTGCTGCCGAGATTTTAGGGACCGACGAATCCACCTTCTTCGAGTGTTCTCATGGTGGGTGGGTATCTGAAGGGGTAAAGAACCCCTTCAGATTTTTACGGGCAATTTTCCATTCCTGTCTGTATTTTTTGGTCCAGAGAGAATTGAGCGAAGCATTTTCGCATCTGTCAGTTCCTCATCGATTTACTCAAAAATTGAGGCATTGCTGCTGAAATCTATGTTTAAACATACTTCATAGATTCGACTATTCCAGAAGAACACTATTTAGTCTTATACACTTAATAGCAATAATGTAAGGCGATTTTAAGGATTTTTTTTAATTGATAGTTGATTTCATCTAGATAGTTTAACCTGATGTCTAGGATGTTATAAGACATACGTCTCATGATGATAATTTTGGAGCTAGCCAATGGTTTTATACTCGTGCTTCTCGATGGGTACTCCCATTGTTTTCGTTACACACTTCGCCCACACGCACGACCTAAACACATTCCACTATTTTGATGCCTCACTTAAACAAACGAGGGCCATTTCCGTGGGAAAAATCTGAAGAGAATGTTGGGAAACCTCGGGTGGGGCGAATTGCGTCCAGAGGGAAGAAAAATGAAGGACTGTTGACCCCCGGTTCCATTGGAGGGGAGAATGAAAGGGAATTTCCTTGGAGGAAACACGGGCCTGTTTGTCGCAAAGCGGAAGCCCTGCAAGAATAGAGTGTGGGGTTGATGATTGGAGGAGGGGCTGAAATTCTGAGCATGACCGAGTGAACGAGCATGTGGAGGAGCTTTTAGCAATGATGATGAAACACTGTGCATGGAGGAACGAACGGGGCTGCGAGGAGGGGCAAAAATGGTGTGGTGCACACAGACACATCCACTGGATCCGGGGCACGGGAATGGGCACATAATATGCGCTCAGTTGTTTGTTGTCTGCAGGACAAAGATAGAAAGCAGCTCTCTCAACAGATGCCAAAATGCCCTCTGCACAATTGCAACAACAAAACGTTCTCCTGCGATCGCAGACGACTGAACTTTTTCTGTCCGTCCCTTCTGCCACAGGCCCCTTCCCCGAGCTGTCACTCGCAGTCCCCGGCCTAGACTGTCCGGCAATCAAGCTCGACCTCGACAACGTTCTCTCGCTAACCGTCGTCGCTTAGTCGAACCCCCGTGGAATATGTGCAAGCCCAGTTTCGGTTGGGGGGACTGAGTGAGTCCAACCCGGAATCAGCTCAATGACTTGGGGCTTGTGTGGGTGATAGACAACCCCACCCCCCTCACCCTCCCCCTAGCCCCAAGCCCAAGCCCAACCCCCAACCCGAACGGGCCGAGGCCCATCCCCTCCCCTCGCTTCGTCGCTTTGACTTGCTCGCTTGCTCCACGAATAGGGGACAATATGTCTCCCAACCGCTACCACTGTAACTTTCGGATTTCCCCCTCCCCGCAGCGAAGAAATTGCCTCCTCGCGAGATAACGAATTGTGACTTTTGCCAGCACTTGATGGCCAGTCCGGTCCGGGGCTTGCATGTACTGATGCTTCCGCTGCCACTCCTGCTGCTGCTGGTGCGAGGGGGTTGTTTCTTAGCCACCCTCAGTTTCGAAGTCACAGTGAAAAGGGCTGTAAAAAAATAAAATGTTTGCTGCTCGCGCTTGCTCCCTCTGTCGCCGAGAGGGGAGGAAAGCTCGACTTGTTGAGTATTTCTTTCATTCATTCCTTCTTTGGAAATGTGAAGCATTTGATCCTGTACTTTTTTACCACGGTGGCTCCTTCTCGAGCGTGGGGGTCGAGATTATAAAATTGAAATGAATCCATGATTTTCTCTCTCTCATGAGGCGGAGCAAATGGAGCGAGGGGTTAGCGAGTGGCCCACTCTGGTGCGGTAGGGAAGGAGGGGGACCATCCACAACTCGAGCAACACCTTTCCTCAACCCCCTCCCACAAGCAAATGAACACATGGGGGAGGACGATGGGAGAGCAGACGGGGAGAGGGTACGAGAAAGGGCTTCTGGGGACGAGAAAGTGGAGGTGGGGACAGAGGACGAGGGCGATCGGAGGCCGAGTACAGTCCTAATACAGTATACCAAATCACAGAAAAGCAAAGGCAACGGAACCGAAGAAAAGAAACAACGAACGAGAGGTAAAGTTGTGAAAGACAACTGAACAAATGTCTGTGCGGGACGATTTGTTCGGTTACTGACAGCTGCCATGGGGTTGCACTGGCAGCAGCAGCAGCAGCAGCAGGGAGGCAGCAGAGGGGAGG